TCCAGTCCAAAAGCATCCAAAAGACGCAAACCCCGGGTGTGGTGTGGGCTGGATGAGGCTCTGCCCATCTGCCAGAGCACTGCTCTGCTGCCAGTGCCCCCGCTCCTGCCCTGGTGCCGTGCGTGGGGACACACACAGAGACCGGGGGGGGCCCCGGCACAAGGCCCAGCTCTGGGATGGGGATGAAAGGAGGCGGAAACAGCGTGAAGGATTCAGGGCTTCCGCCCTGCTCACGTCTGCTGAGGCACCACCGCGTTCGGTCTGGCACTGACCAGCATCGCAGGAGGAGAGGAGCTGGGATCCAGGAGGGGAGCCGGGATCAGGGAGGAGAGGAGCCGGGATCAGGGGGGAGAGGAGCCGGGATCAGGGAGGAGAGGAGCCGGGATCAGGGAGAGGAGCCGGGATCAGGGAGGAGAGGAGCCGGGATCAGGGGGGAGAGGAGCCGGGATCAGGGAGGAGAGGAGCCGGGATCAGGGGGGAGAGGAGCCGGGATCAGGGAGGAGAGGAGCCGGGATCGGGGAGGAGAGGAGCCGGGATCAGGGGGGAGAGGAGCCGGGATCGGGGGGGACAGGAACCGGGATCAGGGGGGAGAGGAGCCGGGATCAGGGGGCAGAGGAACCGGGATCAGGGGGGAGAGGAACCGGGATCGGGGGTGCCGGTCCCTGCTCCCGGCTGCTCCCCGGGCTCACAGCGCCTCTGCTCTGCCGCAGGCGACGCTCGTACCGGACCGGGCAAGACATCGCCAACTGCGGGACCTGCCGGGACTGCGCCTGCATCATCTACAGGTACGAGCCCGCCCCGGCCCCCTGCCCGTCCCGGGGGATCCCTGCTCTCCTGCGTCCCGCAGGCTCCTGCTGGGGCTCCGGGACAGAGGCACTGGGGCTCGCTGCTGGGGACGGAGGGGACCTGCCTGTGCCCATCTCTCCCTGTGGTCGCGAGGGGCTGCGGGCTCTCATCCTGTGCACACCCAAGGGGCACGGCACTAACACAGGCGCGGCCTCCCCTCTGTTGGCCCTCCCTGGTGCCAGAGCCCCCCCCAGCACCTTAGGACACAAACCCGGCTGCGTGGGGTCAGCAGAGACCTCCCGAGCCGGGTCCTGACCCTGGCAAAGGCCGTTGCAGGGAGCTCAAAGGGAAAAGGTGCAGGAGAGCATGGGGAGCACTGGGGTCACCACGGGGCTCGCTGTCCCCGGAGCTGCCGGGTGCAGTGTGGGTGCGGGCACCCCACGGCGGTGTCCATGTGGGTGCAGGCACCCCACGGCTGTGTCCATGTGGGTGCGGGCACCCCACAGCTGTGTCCATGTGAATGTGAGCACCCCACGGCTGTGTCCATGTGGGTGCGGGCACCCCACGGCGGTGTCCATGTGGGTGCAGGCACCCCACGGCTGTGTCCATGTGGGTGCGGGCACCCCATGGCTGTGTCCATGTGAATGTGAGCACCCCACGGCTGTGTCCATGTGGATGTGAGCACCCCATGGCTGTGTCCATGTGGGTGGGGGCACCCCACGACTGTGTCCATGTGGGTGCAGGCACCCCACGGCTGTGTCCATGTGGGTGCGGGCACCCCACGGCTGTGTCCATGTGAATGTGAGCACCCCATGGCTGTGTCCATGTGGGTGCGGGCACCCCACGGCTGTGTCCATGTGGGTGCGGGCACCCCACAGCTGTGTCCATGTGAATGTGAGCACCCCACGGCTGTGTCCATGTGGGTGTGAGCACCCCACGGCTGTGTCCATGTGGGTGCGGGCACCCCACGGCTGTGTCCATGCGGGTGCGGGCACCCCACGGCTGTGTCCATGTGGGTGCGGGAATGCCGGGGGGCTCCAGCGCTCTCAGGAAGCCTCAGGGCTGCAGTGGGGGCACAGCCCCAGCATCCCCTGCCCAGACAGACCCAGGGCACCCGGTTCCCTGCATCCCCAGTGCAGGGAGCGATGGGCAGCAGCGCAGCCCTCGCATGCCCCAGAGCTGGGTCAGGGCTGCAGGGGGGTCTCCCCATAGCGCAGCAGAGGGGCAGGATCCCCTCCCTGAGCTGCTGCTCACGCTCTGGGGGTGCACCCAGCACACGGGGGGGTTCAGGGGTCACCATGGGCCCCTGCGAGGGGACCCCCTGCTGCCATGGCCTGCAGGCAGCTTCTGCCCATCACCCATCCCAAGCAGCCATCCTGCTGCGCATTGGGGATGCTGCTGGGCGTGTGGCACCTCTGTGCCAGAGCATCCGGGGTCCCTCCTGCCAGAGGGACGGACAAACAGCTCCTGACCTGGTGCAGGGGGGCTTTTGGGATTGGCCCCCTCAGCCGCCCTCCTGCACCTTCTTCCTCATCCATCCTCAGAGCCTGGCGCTGCCCCTGCCTTTCTCTTGAGCTCGGCTGTGCCGGTCCCGTTCCATCTCCTCACCAGAGCCCCTTCACCCTGAATGCCCAGGGAAGCTGGGGCTGCCCCATCCCTGCAGTGCTCAAGGCCAGGTTGGACACAGGGGCTTGGAGCTGCTCCAGTGGAAGGGGTTGGGGTTGGAGGAGCTTTAAGGCCCCTTCCAACTGCAACCGTTCCATGGGTCCATGATGAACCCTCCCCAGGGGCACTCTGCTCCCCAGGCTCCCACCAGCGGCTGCTCCTGGGCAAGGCCCCTTCACCCGGGGTCAGCCATTCCCAACAGCCACAGGCCAGCAGCGCTGCAGCAGGACGGGTCCTGCACCCCCAACCCCATGCATCCCTGGGCGCGCAGTGGGGCTGGCGGCGTGTGCGGGGCTGAGCACGGGGGGATGCAGGGAGGGAGGTGGCAGTGGGGCACAGGCTCATGGGGGGGTCCATGCAGGGGCACTGACGCTGCCCCCCCGTTCCCGCAGCGTGGAGCACGATTTCCGGCAGCAGGAGGGCCGCTTCCAGCGGGTCCTGAGCCACATGGACGGGGCCGTGGCCCCCGGCTCCCCGGAGCCTGCGGTGGGCGCCGCGGTGCCGCCGCACCAGGAGCCGTCACCGGGGCTGAGGCCGCCCCTGAAGCTGGACCCCAAGAAACACCGGCGGAAATGCTTCTGGTTCCTGTGAGCGGGCACGGCCCAGCCCCAGCCCTGCCCTGGACCCCTGCTCCGGCAGCGTTCGGTAGCACCAGCTTTTCTATTTCTAACCCTTGGCTCAGAGCAATGAAGCCCCTGTGGAGCCAGCCAGGTCTGTAAACTGGGTGCGTGACCTGGTGGGGCAGCAGGGCGAGGGGCCGGGGCCGGTGTCTGATGGGAACTCAATAAACCCCATGGGGACACTATTTTTGTTACATCCTCTCCACTGAGAGCTTCTGTTCGGGGTGAGGATGAGGATGAGGATGGGGCTGAGGATGAGGATGGGGCTGAGGGTGAGGGTGGGGCTGAGGATGAGGATGGGGCTGAGGATGAGGATGGGGCTGAGGGTGAGGATGGGGCTGAGGATGAGGATGGGGATGAGGATGAGGATGGGGCTGAGGATGAGGATGGGGCTGAGGATGAGGATGGGGCTGAGGGTGAGGATGGGGCTGAGGATGAGGATGGGGCTGAGGATGAGGATGAGGCTGAGGATGAGGATGGGGCTGAGGATGAGGATGGGGCTCGGGGCTCTTCCCCTGCAGCGCTCACCCAGCCCCAGGCTTGGGGCTCCCCAGGTGCCACCAACAGCCGCAGTGCTCCCGGTGCCCATCCCTGTGCCCCAGAGCACCGGTTGCCCCCCTGTATTCAGCCCGCGGTAACCACAGGCACTGAGTGCACCAGGAGAATGGTCCCTGCGAGACCTGTTCCCAACACCCCGCAGGGAGGGTGGGCTGAGGGGGGGGAGGAGAGAGAGCTTCCATCCCCGTGCAGCACCTCCTTCGGTCGGGTCCTCAGGGGCAACGACAAAGCAGGGTGGCAAAGAGGAGCCTTAACCCGGCGAGGCTCAAGGCAAGGGGCTGAGGTGCTGCTCTGGATGCCCGACACCTCCCCGGTCACAGCGCAACACAGCACAGCACAGCATAGCACTGCACAGCACTGCACAGCACAGCGCAACACAGCACAGCACTGCACAGCACTGCACAGCACAGCACAGCGCAACACAGCACAGCACAGCACAGCACAGCACAGCGCAACACAGCACAGCACTGCACAGCACAGCACTGCACAGCACAGCACTGCACTGCACAGTACAACACAGCACTGCACAGCACTGCACAGCACTGCACAGCGCAACACAGCACAGCACTGCACTGCACTGCACTGCACAGTGCAACACAGCACAGCACAGCACTGCACTGCACTGCACAGTGCAACACAGCACAGCACAGCACTGCACTGCACTGCCCCACGGCACAGCAATTCCCCATGGCACGGCGCAACACAGCACAGCACAGCACAGCACAGCACTGCACTGCATTGCACTGCCCCATGGCACTGCACTGCCCCACGGCACTGCACTGCCCCACGGCACAGCAATTCCCCATGGCACGGCGCAACACAGCACAGCACTGCACAGCACTGCACAGCACAGCACTGCACTGCACTGCACTGCACTGCCCCACGGCACGGTACTGCCCCATGGCACAGCAATTCCCCACGGCACGGAGCTTCCCCACGGCACGGCGCTTCCCCGCTGCTGCCCAGCCCCATTGCTCCCCCCGGGCTCCGGGAACACCGGACGCGGTTCCCCGTGTCCCGCAGCAGCTCACCGGGCACACAGGAGCGCGCTGGCTCTGCCCCACGTCCCATCGGTGCCCATGGAGCCACCCTGGCCACAGCTCCCGTCCCCTCCTTCGTGCTGGGTCAGTGCTGGAAGCCGGGGAGCTCTTGGCACATGAGCCTGTGACCGCTCAGCGGCTCCAGCCGCCTGTTCCCTACAGAGCACAGCCCGAACCCTCCTCTGCTCCCCAACAGGGGCTTCCAGCCCCTCGGGCTCTGCCTGCTCCTCCCAATGCCCCCCCCCCCCCTCGCTCCCGGCGCTGCTCCCCTTCCCTCCCGCATCCTGCCGCGTCCAACCCCGCACGGAGCAGCCCCGAGGCGCGGACTCACCCGCAGGGAGCTCTGGCGGTCCAGGACGATGACCCTGCGGGTGACGGGGTGCAGGAGGCGCTCCAGGACCAGCCGGACGTGCGGCTTCACCCGCACCTGCGAGGGAAGGGGCGTCGGGGCCGCGCATGAGGCCGCGGGGCCCGGAGGGAGCGGGCGGGCGGTGGCACCGGCACCGGGCTGATGGGAAGCGAGGCACCGGCACCGCAACACCGGCACCGGGCTGATGGGAACCGAGGCACCGGCACCGGGCTGATGGGAAGCGAGGCACCGGCACCGCAACACCGGCACCGGGCTGATGGGAACCGCGGCACTGGCACCGTGGCACCGGCACTGGGCTGATGGGAACCGCAACACCGGCACCGGGCTGATGGGAACCGCGGCACTGGCACCGTGGCACCGGCACTGGGCTGATGGGAACCGCAACACCGGCACCGGGCTGATGGGAACCGCGGCACCGGCACCGGGCTGATGGGAACCGCGGCACCGGCGCACGGCTCCTGCGGTCCCGGGGCTGGGGGCACCGGCCACGTGTGCGGGGCAGTTACTGCTGCCTCCGGGGGGCAGCGGGTGGCTGTAGATAGGCCTGGGATGGGGGGAGCACCCAGGCAACACAGAACCATAGAATGGTTTGGGTTGGAAAGGAGCTTGGGATCATCCAGTTCCAACCCCTGCCATGGGCAGGGACACCTCACACTAACCCATGGCACCCAAGGCTCTGTCCAACCTGGCCTTGAACACTGCCAGGGATGGAGCATTCCCAACCTCCCTGGGCACCCATTCCAGTGCCTCAGCACCCTCACAGGAAAGAGCTTCTTCCTTATATCCAATGGGGCAAGGGGGATGGCTACTGAGGTATGGACACCCCTGGCACTGCAGTGACGTAACCCAGTATACCCCAGTGCTGCTTTACCCTTCCTGTGCTCTAACAAAACCAACCTTCATCCCCAGACCTGCTCCAGCACCACAGCCGTGTCCATGTGCCCCTAGCACCTGGGTGTGCTGCAGCCCAGGCACGCACCAGTGCACAGCACAGCACCAAGTCCATGGGGCCTGGGTGTAGGTCTGGGTCCAGACCCCCCTCAGGGCAGGACAGGGGGTGCTGGGGGATCCCAGTAAGCCCCACTGGTCCCACACTGCAGCATCCCTGCAGCATCAGTGCAGCAGCTCTGGCTCTGGGTGACTGTGTGGGTTTGTCACCATAGTGGGATGCAGGCCAACCCTTCCTGACCCCTCACACTGTGTCAGGCACTGGAGCCAAGCACAGCACTCACCAGCTCCTGGTGCTGCTCCTCGCCTGGGCCCGGTTGCGCCTCCAGCTCCTCCGCTCTCTGCAATGAACAGATCCGGGATGTGGGGCCGGTGCCAGCACAGACAGCGCTGGCCCATGGGAGGCATCGAGGATGGGGCACATCCGGGCGCTCAGGCACCCAGGCAGCGGGGTTTGTCCCTTTGGCACTGGGCAGGGGCTCTGGGGCATGGGTTGCTCCCTGCTGCAGGGCTCATGGGGCACGTTTAGGTCCATCACTGCTGACCCTGGAGCACAGCGGTGCCCAGGGACCTTCTCCCTGCCCTCACGGTCCTCCCGCTGTGCAGAGCAGGGGCAGTGAGAGGCACGGTTGCTGCTGCAGCCCCTGATCCCTTGGAGGAACCTTTTCCACCTCCCCCATTGCTGGGGAGCTCTTTGGAGAGCAGCTGAGGTGGAATCAAATGGGTTTTACCCCATCGTGGGCAGGTTCCCAGTGGGACAGTGGCCACCAACAGCCCCCTTTGCCTTTGGGTAACCAACACCAGCCCCAACCATACCCAGGCCAGTGGCTCCTGCTCAACCCTTCTCAAAGGGGTTTTCAGGTCACTGCAGGGTGATGACTGGGGAGGGAAAGGAGGGGAGGGGATGGGATTTACCTTCTGGGCCTGGTGCAGCACCTCCAGGATGCTGCTGAGCAGCTCGATGCAGGCCTTGTCCTCCTCCCCCTTCTCCATCAGGTCCTGCAGCAGCGGCACGGCCACCTGCAGCAGCGGCTCCCGGCATTCTGCAGGCAACACGGGGGTGGCTGCCAGCACTGGGAGCACTGGGAGCACTGGGAGCACTGGGAGCACTGGGCAGGGCTGGGACCAACAGCATGGATGGGACCAGCACAGCGTCTGCACTGGGCTGCAACTTCCCTTCACGGGGTCATCACCTTCCCCCTCCATGGAGTGGGTTTTGGGGCAACGCTGAGCCCTGGTGAGAAAGCTCCAGGGAGGGAATCCACTGCCCCGTTACACAGCTAAAGGCACACAACTCAACCCAACAAGCCTCATCTGAAGCTGGTTCGCTTCGGCTCCACGGTGGACTTGCAGCTCATCCCATCCCACTGCATCCTACCCGGTACTCCGGAGGTACCTGGGACTGTGACCTTGTCCTCAGTGGCCACAAGGAGCCATTAAGGCTCCCAGCACCTAACGCTGTTCATCACAGAACCCCAGACTGGTTTGTATTGAAAGGAGCTTAGAGCTCACCCACCTCCAACCCCTGCCAGGGCAGGGACCCCTTCCACTGGAGCAGCTCCAAGCCCCTGTGTCCAACCTGGCCTTGAGCACTGCCAGGGATGGGGCAGCCACAGCTTCTCTGGGCACCCTGTGCCAGCGCCTCAGCACCCTCACAGGGAAGAGCTTCTGCCTCAGAGCTCAGCTCAGTCTCCCCTCGGGCAGGTTCAAGCCATTCCCCTTGGCCTGGCCCTACAGGTCCCTGTCAGAAGTCTCTCTCCAGCCACTCGAGGATCCCCGCTGGGATCCCACCCCTCGGTGCACAGGGCTCAACGGTACCGGGGGGGTGCAGGGCAGCACCCAGGGCTCCGTGCGCTGGTGCCCAGCCCTGAGCTCTCGGCAGCCCCGGAATCGGGAGTGAAGCAACGGTTCAGCACCAACCACTTCCTTCCTCCCGCCGGCTGCACCCCCGCTGGCCACGGGGACCGGATGCTCGCCCCGCACCGGCTCTGCCCGGGCTCTCTCCCCCCCAAAGCCTCAGGGGCTCCGGCCCCCAGGACCTGCCCTGGCCGGGCTGCAGCTCCCCCCTCTGCACCGGAGCCTTGAGGCAGCGCCAGGCTCCTTCCCCTGTGCTGACCCCCCCAGCCCGAGCCTGCTCCTCAGCCTGGCTGCAGAGCAGAGCTGCCCCAGCCCTCGCAGCATCCCCACGGCCTCGCTCCAGCAGCTCCACGTCCCTCCTGTGCCTGGATCAGGGCTGCAGGGGGGGCTCCCCATAGCGCAGCAGAGGGGCAGGATCCCCTCCCTGCGCTGCTGCTCACGCTCTGGGGGTGCACCCTGCACATGGGGGGGCTCTGGGCTCAAGCGCTCACTGAAGCCGGGTCATGGGGGGCTCCTCTTCACCCAGCACCCCCAAGTCCTCCTCCTCAGGGCTGCTCCATCCCTTCACCCCCAGCCTGGGTCTGTGCTCTGGATCGCCCTGACCCAGGCTCCTTGCACTTGGGGAGCTGCGGCTGGGGCCGGTGCGAGGCACAGCGGGGCAGAGCTGTCACCGGTAACGGCAGCCAGGCCCAGAGCATCCTCCCCGCCGGCAGCCGGGGATCGCGGACACCTCCCAGCGGCTGCCGGTGCCGAAGCCCCGGGGCCCGCAAGGAACCGCCCGGTCCCTGCCCGCTGCCCCCCGCCCCGTCTGGAGCTCCGTGCCCCAGCCGGGCCGTTGCCGGTCTGGCAGCTCCCCCTGCCGGCCCCGCCGCCGCACGCCGGCAGCCACCGCCAGCGGAGAGCGCCCGCTCCGGGCGTGGGTCCCGGGCACCGGACGTACAGCACCGGCACCAGGACGCTCGGACCGGCAGCGGGATGCCCAACACCGAAACTGGGATAACCGGACCGGCACCGGGACTCTCGGACCGGCAGCGGGATGCCCAACACCGGATCTGGGATAACCGGACCGGCACCGGGGCGCTCGGACCGGCACTGGGATACCCGGTACCGGGTTACCCCGCACCGGCACCGGGATGCGCGGAGCAGCACCAGGATAACACCGCCCCCAGGGCCGGGCCGCGCTCCGGGTCTGCGGCGGAGGAACGGCGGCGGGGAGCGCGCCTGGAGGTAGGGCTCGGTGCGGGCTCGGTGCGGGCTCCGACAGAGATCGCGCCGGGATCGGGTCCCTCCGGTCCCTCCGATCACGCACGCACCGGGGCGCGCGCCCACCGGCCGTTGGGCTCCGCCCCTGAGCTCTGATTGGCTGCCGCGGGCAGGCCCACGTGACGGCGGCGCCGTCACCTGACCGCCTCCCGCGGCTGGGCCCGAGGCGGCGGTGGCGCGCGCAGGTGAGCGGTGGCCGGGACAGGCCCGAACCGGAACCGGAACCGGAGCCACGGTTCGGGGGCGCTGACCCGGGACACCCGGCCCCGACCTGTCCGGTCCCGGTGCTCTGTGCCCCTCCCGGTCCGTCCCTCACCGCTGTCCCCCCGCCCGGCCCGTTCTGTTCTGCCGGGGCCGGCCCCGGGCTGTCCGCCTGCCCCCGAGGGGTCCGCGCTGCCCCGCGCCCCGGCCCGGTTCCCGTACAGAGCCCATCGCGGTTCCCCACCTGCGTTCCCCCGGTCCCCGCACCCCAGCCGGGTTCCCTCCCTGTCCGTGCCCGGGTCCCTGTGCCCCGCAGGTCCCCCCCGGTGTAACGGGCCGGGGGCAGCACCGCGCTCCTCCGAGAGACGCGGCCGAGGGGGTTCAGCCCCGGCCCGGCCCCGCTCCACCTCCCCACCCCTGCAGCCCCGGCGCCGTGTCCTCGCCATGGCCGGCAACGGGGCCCCGGGGTCCGGCCCCGCGCTGGCGGAGGAGGAGGATGAGGAGGAGGAGCCGGCGCTGGGCTGCGATGGCGACCTGGAGGTGAACCCCTACGATGGGCTCCCCTTCTCCTCCCGCTACTACGAGCTGCTGCGGCAGCGCCGGGACCTGCCCGTCTGGAGCACCAAGTACAGCTTCATGGAGCACTTGGAGGGCACCAGCGGCATCATCCTGGTGTCCGGGCCCGCGGGCACCGGCAAGAGCACGCAGGTGAGCAGGGCTGGGGTGTGGGGATGCTCTGCCCGTGCTGCTTCCCCCCATGGCACCATCACGGTGAGCCCGGTGTGGGGCTGCTGCTGGGGCCCGGGGCAAAGCCTCGGCACAAGCCGGGAGCAGGGCACCGGCGCCGGCACCGGCACCGGGGTGCTCCCGGAGCTGGTTCTGTCGGCAGCCCTGGCCCTGCATCGGAGACGCCTCAGGCAGACTTTGGCCAGGGGAGGGACCTGCTGGGAGCTGCCAGAGCCTGGGGCTGGGTGCGCACCGGGTGCTGCGTGGCAGGCACCAGGCTCGGGGCGCTGGGTGTTGGCTCCAGGGCCCTGTGCCCAAAGCGCCTCCCATGGGTGCAGCAGCCAACCGCAGGGTGCCGGATTTCAGGGCTAAAGCCTTTGTGCAGGGCCTGGGCTGGGCTGGCCCCGGGGCTGAGCTGCCCTGGGACATCCCCGCTGTGGCACCGTGCCCTGAGCAGCCCAGGGGCACGGCTCCATCCGTACTGGTGCCCCAGCACCCGGAATGGGAAGAGGCGATGCACAACTGGGTCCCTTCCCCGTTATCATGGCCAAGAGACACCCGCATGGCCCCGGGACCGTTCTGCACCACCCAGAGGGTGCTTGGGCAGGGGCTGCTTCTGGGCGCTTCCTGCCCCATCCCTCACGTGGGGCACTTTGTGATCCCTCTGGCCCCATATGGGGCACTTTGTGATCCCTCTGGCCCCATATGGGGCACTTTGTGATCCCTCTGGCCCCATATGGGGCACTTTGTGATCCCTCTGGCCCCATATGGGGCACTTTGTGATCCCTCTGGCCCCATCCGAGGGTGCTCGAGCCCCTGCCCTAGGCCTGCAGCTGCTGCAGGGTCCGGGTCTCCTGGGGCTGGCTGCTGACGCTGCCCAGGCTGGGCACATTGTTCTCCCTGGGGAGGTGGAGGCAGAGCTCTTGCCCCATGTGAGAACCGGGGCCCTTGCGTGCTGTAAGGCAGCAGAAAACTGCAGGCATGGGGTGAGGAGGATTTGGGGCTCATTTGCAGGTTGTTGGGTGCAGAAGTGATGATAATAGAGAGGGGAAAGCCCTGCCTGGCCTGTGGGGTGCTCCTGGACGGCCCCAAAGGGGACTGCCCTGGGTGAGGTACTGGGGTAGGTGTCCTAGGGAAGCTGGGGCTGCCCCATCCCTGCAGTGCTCAAGGGCAGGTTGGGCACAGGGGCTTGGAGCTGCTCCAGTGAAGGGGTCCCTGGGGCTGAATTGGGGCTGGAGGAGCTTTAAGGTCCCCTCCAACACAAACCAGGCTGGGGTTTAAATGACTCAGGATGGGAAGGGAAGGGAACGTCCCGGTGCTCGTGGCCGTGGCTGTTCTGTCCCAGTCCCTGAGCAGCATCCTCCCCATTGCAGATCCCGCAGTGGTGCGCGGAGTACGCCCTGTCCCTGCAGTTCGCCCATGGGCTGGTGGCCTGCACCCAGCCCCACAGCCTGGCCGCCCTCAGCCTCTCCCTGCGCGTGGCGGACGAGATGGACCTGAACCTGGGCCACGAGGTGGGCTACTGCGTGCCCCACGAGGACTGCTGCAGCAGCGACACCATCCTCAGGTACCGGCCCCGCTGCGGCACCGCTTGCACCAGGCTCTAATCCTGCTGAGCGCCGGCTGCAGGCTAATCCCTTCATGCAGCCTGGCCTGGTTGGCAGCGCCTGGGGGGTCAGTGACGGGGCGGCCCATGGCAGGTACTGCTCGGACGAGATGCTGCTGCGGGAGATGACGTCGGACCCGCTGCTGCGGCAGTACGGGGTGCTGGTGCTGGACGAGGCGCAGGAGCGCACGCTGCCCACGGACGCGCTGCTGGGGCTGCTCAGGGACGTGCTGGGCCAGCGCCCCGCGCTCAAGGTGGTGGTGGTCACCTCGCTGGCCATGGAGGAGCGGCTCCGCGCCTTCTGCGGGGACCCCCCCGTGGTGCGGGTGCCGGCGCGCGGGGAGCCCCCGCTGCTGCTGTACCGGGAGCCGCCGGGGCAGGGCCGCGTGGCCGCTGCGTGCCAGGCGGTGCTGGACATCCACCGGCGGCAGGAGCAGGGGCACGTCCTGCTCTTCATGGCCAGCGAGCAGGTGGGGGCACCGGGGGTGCAGGGGGGCTCTGTGCCATGGGGCAGGGGAATGGCTTGAACCCATCAGAGGGGAGGCTGAGCTGGGCTCTGAGGCTGAGCTCTGCCCTGGGAGGGTGCTGAGGCGCTGGCACAGGGTGCCCAGAGAAGCTGGGGCTGCCCCATCCCTGGCAGTGCTCAAGGCCAGGTTGGACACAGGGGCTTGGATGCTCCAGTGGAAGGGGTTGGGGATGGTGGAGCTTTCAGCTCCCCTCATCCCAACCCATGCTGGGGTTCCCTGACCCCATGGGTGCAGGAGCTGGGCTCTGCCATGCAGGAGCTGGAGGAGCTTTAAGCTCCGTTCAACCCAACCCGTGCTGGGGTTCCCTGACCCCTCTCATCCGTGAGCATGGACCCCATGGATGCAGGAGCTGGGCTCTGCCATGCAGGAGCTGGAGGAGCTTTAGGGTCCCCTCATCCCACCCCATGCTGGGGTTCCCTGACCCCATGGGTGCAGGAGCTGGGCTCTGCCATGCAGGAGCTGGAGGGGCTTTAGGGTCCCCTCATCCCAACCCATGCTGGGGTTCTGTGACCCCTCTCATCCGTGAGCATGGACCCCAGGGATGCAGGAGCTGGGCTCTGCCATGCAGGAGCTGGAGGAGCTCCCCTCATTCCAACCCATGCTGGGGTTCCCTGACCCCTCTCATCCGTGAGCATGGACCCCATGGGTGCAGGAGCTGGGCTCTGCCATGCAGGAGCTGGAGGAGCTTTAGGGTCCCCTCATCCCACCCCATGCTGGGGCTCTGTGACCCCTCTCATCCGTGAGCATGGACCCCAGGGGTGCAGGAGCTGGGCTCTGCCATGCAGGAGCTGGAGGGGCTTTAGGGTCCCCTCATCCCAACCCATGCTGGGGTTCCCTGACCCCAGGGATGCAGGAGCTGGGCTCTGCCATGCAGGGTCCCTGCGGGCTCCGGGCCCCGCTCACCCTGTCCCCACCACAGGAGATCACCGAGGCCTGCATTGCCCTGCGGAGGGAGGCGGCCGCGCTGCCCCCAGGCCTGGGCCCGCTGCTGGTGCTGCCGCTGCACCCGGGCCTGGGCCGCGCCGCACAGGGCATCTACGAGGGGCTGGAGGAGGGCGGCCGCGGGCGCCGCGTCCTCGTCAGCCAGGGGCTGGCCGAGGCCTCCTTCTCCATGGGCGGCGTCCGCTTCGTCATCGACAGCGGGCTGGAGCTGCGCAGTGTGAGGGGGGGGGGGGTCATGGGATGGGGTGGGATGGGATGGGATGGGAGGGGTGGGATGGGATGGGGGAGATGGGATGCGGTGGGATGGGATGGGATGGGGGAGATGGGATGCAGTGGGATGGGATGGGGGGCATGGGATGGGATGCGGTGGGATGGGATGGGATGCGGTGGGGATGGCATGGGATGGGATGCGGTCGATGCGATGGGATGCAGTGGGATGGGATGGGGGGCATGGGATGGGATGCGGTGGGATGGGATGGGATGCGGTGGGGATGGCATGGGATGGGATGCGGTCGATGCGATGGGATGCAGTGAGATGGGATGGGATGCGGTGGGATGGGATGGGGTGGGGTGGGATGGGATGCGGTGGGGATGGCATGGGATGCGGTGGGATGGGATGGGATGGGATGCGGTGGGATGGCATGGGATGGGATGCGGTCAATGCGGTGGGATGGGATGCGGTGGGATGGCATGGGATGGGATGCGGTCAATGCGGTGGGATGGGATGCGGTGGGATGGGATGTGCTGGAATGGGATGCGGTGGGATGGGATGCGGTGGGATGGGGATGCAGTTGGATGGGATGCGGTGGCATGGGATGCGGTGGGATGGCATGGGATGGGGGAGATGGGATGCGGTGGGATGGGATGGGGGAGATGGGATGCGGTGGGATGGGATGGGATGTGGTGGGATGGGATGGGATGGGATGGGATGCGGTGGGATGGGATGGGATGGGATGGGATGCGATGGGATGGGATGGGATGGGATGCGGTGGGATGGGATGGGGGAGATGGGATGCGGTGGGATGGGATGGGATGGGATGGGATGGGATGCAGTGGGGATGGGATGGGATGCGGTGGGATGGGATGGGATGGGATGGGATGGGATGGGATGGGATGGGATGGGATGCACTGGGATGGGATGGGATGCACTGGGATGCACTGGGATGGGATGGGATGGGATGGGATGGGATGGGATGCAGTGGGGATGGGATGGGATGTGGTGGGATGGGATGGGATGGGATGGGATGCGGTGGGATGGGATGGGATGGGATGGGATGGGATGGGATGGGATGGGATGGGATGCGATGGGATGGGATGGGATGGGATGCGGTGGGATGGGATGTGGTGGGATGGGATGCGGTGGGATTGGAGGTAGGGACAGCCCATGGTGATGCTGAGGAGGGACCCGCATGGAATCATTGCTCTGGGTCATGCGCTCAGTGCAGACCCAGGCTGGGGGATGTGTGCAGGGCACGGGACCTGCCCCAGGCCTTGGTGGCTGCCCCAGCAGCATGGAGGCACTGGGGAGCACTGGGGAGCACTGGGGGCTCCTGTGCTCACCCCCTGTGCTGCAGGTCTACAACCCCCGCATCCGCGCAGAGTCCCAGGTCCTGCGGCCCATCAGCAAGAGCCAGGCCCAGTCCCGCATGGAGCGCGCCACCGGTACCCCCCCCGGTGAGAGCTCAACAGCACCTGAACAGGGGGGCTCCGGTGCTGGGGGGGCTCCAGTGCTGGGGGGATCCGGTGCTGGGGGGGCTGCGGTGCTGGGGGGGCTCCAGTGCTGGGGGGGCTGCGGTGCTGGGGGGCTCCGGTGCTGGGGGGTTCCGGTGCTGGGGGGCTCCGGTGCTGGGGGGCTGCGGTGCTGGGGGGGCTCCGGTGCTGGGGGGTTCCGTGTGGGGGTGTGGGGGTGTGGGGGTGTGGGGGGTGGGTGTGGGGGTGCTGGGGGGTGCTGGGTGCTGGGGGGCTGCGGTGCTGGGTGGGGGGGCTGGGTGCTGAGGTGCTGGGGGCTGGCGGCTGGGGGGCTGTGGTGCTGGGGGGCGGTGCTGGGGGGGCTCCGGTGCTGGGGGGGCTGCGGGGCTGGGGGGGCTGCTGGGGGGGCTGCGGTGCTGGGGGGGCGGTGCGGGGGCGGTGCTGGGGGGCCTGCGGTGCTGGGGGGCTGTGGTGCTGGGGGGCTCCGGTGCTGGGGGGTTGCGGTGCTGGGGGCTCCGGTGCTGGGGGGCTGCGGTGCTGGGGGGGCTCCGGTGCTGGGGGGTTCCGGTGCTGGGGGGCTGCGGTGCTGGGGGGCTGCGGTGCTGGGGGGCTCCGGTGCTGGGGGGGCTCCGGTGCTGGGGGGGCTGCGGTGCTGGGGGGCTGCGGTGCTGGGGGGCTCGGTGCTGGGGGGGCTGCGTGCTGGGGGGGGTGCTGGGGGGCTGCGGTCTGGGGGGCTGCGGGCTGGGGGCTGCGGTGCTGGGGGGCTGCGGTGCTGGGGGGCTGGGGGTGCTGGGGGCGGTGCTGGGGGGGCTGCGGTGCTGGCTGCGGTGCTGCTCCGGTGCTGCTGCGGTGCTGGGGGCTCTGCGGTGCTGGGGGGCTGGGTGCTGGGGGCTGGCTGCGGTGTGGGGGCTGCTGCGGCTGCGGTGCTGGGGGCTGCGGTGCTGGGGGGCTGCGGTGCTGGGGGGGGGTGCTGGGGGGCTGCGGTGCTGGGGGGCTCTGCGGTGCTGGGGGGCTGCCGGTGCTGGGGGGCTGCGGTGCTGGGGGGCTGCGGTGCTGGGGGGGCTCCGGTGCTGGGGCTGCGGTGCTGGGGGGCTGCGGTGCTGGGGGGGCGGTGCTGGGGGGGTGTGGGGGGGCTGCGGTGCTGGGGGGGCTGCTGGGGGGCTGGGGGGGGGCTGCCTGCGGTGCTCCGGTGCTGGGGGGGCTGCTGGGGGGGCTGCGGTGCTGGGGGGCTCTGGGGGGTGCTGGGGGGGCTCCGGTGCTGGGGGGGCGGTGCTGGGGGGGCTCCGGTGCTGGGGGGGCTGCGGGGGGGCGGTGCTGGGGGGGCTGCGGTGCTGGGGGGCTCCGGTGCTGGGGGGCTCCGGTGCTGGGGGGGCGGTGCTCCGGTGCTGGGGGGCTGCGGTGCTGGGGGGGCTCTGCTTGCTGGGGGGGCTCCGGTCCGGTGCTGGGGGGCTGCGGTGCTGGGGGGCTGCGGTGCTGGGGGCTGCGGTGCTGGGGGGCTGGGGGGCTGGGGGGGTGCGGTGCTGGGGGGGCTGCGGTGCTGGGGGGGCGGTGCTGGGGGGGCTGCGGGCTGCGGTGCTGGGGGGGCTGCTGGGGGGGCTGCGGTGCTGGGGGGGCTCCGGTGCTGGGGGGGCTGCGGTGCTGGGGGGCTCCGGTGCTGGGGGGCTCCGGTGCTGGGGGGGCTCCGGTGCTGGGGGGCTCCGGTGCTGGGGGGCTGCGGTGCGGGGGGGCTGCGGTGCTGGGGGGCTGCGGTGCTGGGGGGCTCTGTGCTGGGGGGGCTGGGTGCTGGGGGGCTGCGGTGCTGGGGGGCTGCGGTGCTGGGGGGCTGCGGTGCTGGGGGGCTCTGATGCTGGGGGGGCTGCGGTGCTGGGGGGGCTCTGTTGCTGGGGGGGCTCCGGTGCTGGGGGGGCTCCGGTGCTGGGGGGATCCGGTGCTGGGGGGCTGCGGTGCTGGGGGGCTGCGGTGCTGGGGGGCTCTGATGCTGGGGGGGCTGCGGTGCTGGGGGGCTCTGATGCTGGGGGGGCTGCGGTGCTGGGGGGGCTCCAATGCTGGGGGGGCTCTAGGCTCACAGCCCCTCTCCCCAGGCACCTGCCTGCGCCTCTACTCAGAGGCCTTCTATGAGCAGCGGCTGCCGCCCGGGCCCGTGCCCCACATCAGCGAGAGCAGCCTCAGCCGCCTCGTGCTGCTGCTCAAGCGCCTCGACATCGCCGACATGGGCCAGTGCCACTTCCTTGACCGGCCAGGTACTGCCCGGGGGTCCCATGGGTGCAGGGGCATGGGGATGGGGGGGGGGGTACCGGACGCTGCAGCCGCCGCCCGCACCCCCTTCAACTGCGGGGGTCCCATGGGTGCAGGGGGATGGGGATGGGGGTACCGGATGCTGCAGCCGCCGCCCGCACCCCCTTCACCTGCGGGGGGGGTCCCATGGGTGCAGGGGAATGGGGGTACCGGATGCTGCAGCCGCCGCCCGCACCCCCTTCAACTGCGGGGGTCCCATGGGTGCAGGGCGATGGGGATGGGGGGGGTACCGGATGCTGCAGCCGCCGCCCGCGCCCCCTTCAACTGCGGGGGTCCCATGGGTGCAGGGGGATGGGGATGGGGATGGGGGTACCGGATGCTGCAGCCGCCGCCCGCACCCCCTTCAACTGCGGGGGTCCCATGGGTGCAGGGGGATGGGGATGGGGGGGGGGTACCGGATGCTGCAGCCGCCGCCCCCACCGCAGCGCCCGAATCCCTGATGCAAGCCCTGGAGGACCTGGACTATTTGGCCGCTCTGGATGACGATGGGAACCTCTCGGAGCTGGGGATCATCATGTCCGAGTTCCCGCTGGACCCGCAGCTGGCCAAGGCGCTCATCGCGGCCTGCGAGTTCGACTGCGTGCAGGAGATGGTCAGCCTGGCCGCCATGCTCACCGGTACCGTGATGGGGGGGGGGGCAGCACCCCAGGACAGTGCTACCGGGGCAGTGCTGGGGACCCATGGTGACCCCTCTGCTCCATGCCAGCATCCCCCTGCTTCCTGCCCCCCCCCCCGCACATGGAGGAGGCCGTGGCCATGCACCGCCGGGCCCTGCTGCACCCCGATGGAGACCACTTCACCCTCATCAACATCTTCAACGCCTTCCAGGAGCGTGAGTGCGGCACCGGGGTGTCCTCAGCCCCCCTCCCTCCATGGCCCTGCTCGCCCTTGGATCCTGACTCCCCTGCTCCTTTTGGGGCCAAGCCCTGCAGCCGCATTCGAGACCCCTGCAGTGCCCCCCCAGCTGCAGGAGGGTCCCAGCCTAGGGTGCTCCTGTCTGCTTGCTCACTGTCCCCTCTGCATTGGGCCTCTGGGAGCTGCAGTGCCTGGTTCCATGGCCCAAGGCCACCCCCTGGGGTCTCTCCTCACTGTCCCCCCGGTGCTGCCCTCACTGTCCCCATTGGTGCTGCCCTCACTGTCCCCCCGGTGCTGCCCTCACTGTCCCCCCGGTGCTGCCCTCACTGTCCCCCCGGTGCTGCCCTCACTGTCCCCCTGGTGCTGCCCTCACTGTCCCCATGGTTCTGTCCCCACGGTGCTGCCCTCACTGTCCCCATGGTTCTGTCCCCCCGGTGCTGCCCTCACTGTCCCCATGGTTCTGTCCCCCTGGTGCTGCCCTCACTGTCCCCCCAGTGCTGCCCTCACTGTCCCCATGGTGCTGCCCTCACTGTCCCCATGGGCTCTCCTCACTGAGTGCTCTCACTGTCCCCCCAGTGCTGCCCTCACTGTCCCCATGGTGCTGCCCTCACTGTCCCCATGGTTCTGTCCCCCCGGTGCTCTCCTCACTGTCCCCATGGTTCTGTCCCCCCAGTGCTGCCCTCACTGTCCCCATGGTTCTGTCCCCCCGGTGCTCTCCTCACTGTCCCCCCGGTGCTGCCCTCACTGTCCCCATGGTGCTGCCCTCACTGTCCCCATTGGTGCTCTCCTCACTGTCCCCATGGTTCTGTCCCCCCGGTGCTCTCCTCACTGTCCCCATTGGTGCTGCCCTCACTGTCCCCATTGGTGCTGCCCTCACTGTCCCCATTGGTGCTGTCCTCACTGTCCCCATGGCTCTGCCCCCCAGATGAGGCGGACGAGGGCTGGTGCCGCAAGCACGCAGTGAATGCGGCTGCCCTGCGCCTGGCCAGCATCGTGCGCTCGGAGCTGCTGGAGGTGATGCAGCGCATCGAGCTGCCCGTGTCCCCCCCCGCCTTCGGCACCTACGCCAATGTGCTCAACATCCAGAGAGCCCTCATCTCCGGGTACTTCCTCAAGGTGGGACCGGGGCTGGGGGCCCGGCTGCGGGGCACGGGGCTCGTTCCGTGCCCGCTCCCATCCCATGCGCTCCGCAGGTGGCCCGGGACATCGACGGCTCCGGCAACTACGTGATGCTGACGCACAAGCACGTGGCCCACTTGCCCCCGTCCTGCTGCTACCTGCTGCGGCAGCCCCCGCGGCGCCTGCCCCCGTGGGTGCTGTACCACGAGTTCACCATCTCCCAGGACAACTGCCTGCGCGTGGTCTCGGAGATCCAGCCCCAGATGTGAGCACCGGGGGATGAGGGCCTGGACCCGCAGCGCGGCGGAGCCCTGGCACCCCGCGGGTCACCCCTTGTCCTTGTCCCTGTCCCTGTCCCGCAGGCTGGTGGCGCTGGCTCCCCAGTACTACCTGAGCAACCTCCCGCCCAGTGAGAGCCGCGACCTGCTCATGGCGCTGCGGGAGGAGGTGGCGGCTGCGGGGGATGCGCCGGCGGTGCCCGCAGCGCTGGGACCGGCGCCCGGCGGCGGGGATGGGGATGGGGATGGGGATGAGGATGCGGATGAGGATGGGGACAAGGAGGTGTGTGCGCTGCAGTGACCGCAGCCGATGGAGCCCCGCGTCGGGGCTGCCTGCGCTTGGCCGGGACCCCGGGGAGCGGGGAGCCCCGGAGGGGGGGGGGCCGCGGTGCTGACCCCATCCATCCATCAGCGGGAGGTGGGGGCCGGGCTGCGGCTGCCGCAGCAGCACCGCGGGCACCGGGACCGGCCCCGGGACCGAGCCCAGGCCGGGGAGCGCCAGCCCCGAGGAGCCGCGCAGGGACCCCCCGGCTCCATGAGCCCGCGTTCTCCGGGGGTGCGTGGGGCCGGGGCCGCTCCGTGCCCCCCGTGCGGGGCAGCAGCGCCGGGGCCGCTCGGGGCTCTCTCCTGGATAAAGTTGTGGATCTTTGGTGCCGGCCTCGTGTCCGTCCCCGCGCCGGGGCTTTCGGAGCCTGCGGAGCCCCTGCCCTGCGCCCGCCGCCGCTGACGCGCCCAGGGCAGCCCTGGCCTTTGCCCCGGGGCTTCCCCGCCGCGGCCGAGGCTCTTCTGCAGAACCGGAGGGGAAGCTGCGGCCGGGGGTGGGCGGGAGAGGGGGGTGCGCCCGGTGCCTGCGGCCGGTGAGCGCAGGCGGTGACTGCAGCCGGAGTGAGTGCAGCCAATGTGAGTGCAGCCAGCGTGGGCGCAGCCAGTGACTGCAGCCGGAGTGAGTGCAGCCAATGTGAGTGCAGCCGGTGACTGCAGCCGGAGTGACTGCAGCCAATGTGAGTGCAGCCGGAGTGAGCACAGCCGGTGACTGCAGCCAGCGTGGGCGCAGCCAGTGTGAGCACAGTGCTAGTGTGAGCATAGCCGGTGTGACTGCAGCCGGTGTGAGCATCCTGTGTGGGCACAGCCAGTGTGAGTGCAGCCAGTGTGCACAGTGCTAGTGTGAGCATCCAGTGTGAGCATAGCCAGTGTGAGCATCCAGTGACTGCAGCCAGTGTGAGCACAGCCAATGTGAGCATCCAGTGTGCACACAGCCAGTGTGAGCATCCATTGTGCACACCCAGTGACTGCATCCAGTGTACGCACAGCCATCGTGTGCAGCCGGTGTGAGCACCCAGTGCATGCACCCAATGTGTGCATCCAGTGTGAGCACAGCCAGTGTGAGCACCCAGTGACTGCACCCAATGTGTGCATCCCATGTGTGCACCCAGTGACTGCATCCAGTGTGTGCATCCAGCGTGTGCATCCAGTGTGAGCATCCAGCTCCTGCTCCCTGGGATCGGGATCGGGTGCTCTGCCGCAGCGAGGAGCCCACGTCCCTCCCGAGGCCCCCTTCAGCTTCCCAGCAGTCGTGGAATCACTGAACTGAGCTGGTTTGGGTTGAAGGGACCTTAAAGCTCCTCCAGCTCCAACCCCTGCCTTGGACAGGGACCCCTTCCACTGGAGCAGCTCCAAGCCCCTGTGTCCAACCTGGCCTTGAACACTGCCAGGGATGGGGCAGCCACAGCTTCTCTGGGCACCCTGTGCCAGCGCCTCAGCACCCTCACAGGGAAGAGCTTCTGCCTAAGAGCTCAGCTCAGTCTCCCCTCGGGCAGGTTCAAGCCATTCCCCTTGGCCTGTCCCTGCATCCCTTGTCCCAAGCCCCTCTCCAGGTTCCCTGCAGCCCCTTCAGGCACTGGAGCTGCTCTCAGGTCTCCCCTTCAGGAGCCTTCTCTTCTCCAGGCTGCCCCAGCCCAGCTCTCTCAGCCTGGCTCCAGAGCAGAGCTGCCCCAGCCCTCGCAGCATCCCCATGGCCTCGCTCCAGCAGCTCCACGTCCCTCCTGTGCCTGGATCAGGGCTGCAGGGGGGCTCCCCATAGAGCAGCAGAGGGGCAGGATCCCCTCCCTGCGCTGCTGCTCACGCTCTGGGGGTGCCCCCAGCACACGGGGGGGTTCTGGGCTCAAGCCCTCACTGAAGCCGGGTCCTGGGGAGCTTCCCCTCACCCAAATCCTTCCCTTCAGCTGCTCCATCCCTTCTCCCCCAGCCCATTTGATGTGGGGCTGGTGCTGACCCCGCAGCAGGACCTTGCCCTCGGCCTGGCTCAGCTCCACGTGCTCCACTCCTGTCCTGGGTCCCATCACCAGGGCCTAGGGCTGAGCTCCTGCCTGGGGCTGGGACCCCATCACGGGCGCTGTGCTCTGGGTGCTGAGCTCCAGCGCTGCCCCAGGATCGGACCCCCCCATTGCCATGGGTGCTGCACCCCCCCCACCCCTCCCCGCAGCCCCCACACCGGCCTTGGCCGTTCCAGGGAAGGGGCCTGGAGGCTCCGTGGCCCCGTCCCTGCCGCAGTGCCTCGAAGGTCACCGCCCCCCCCGCAGCCTCCTCCGAGCCCGAGCTTCCCCTTCGCTTTCTAGGAACCACCGAGCCGGGGGCCGCGGGGGCCGCTCGCACCTCCCGCACCGGGGCTGCCTGCACCGCACCGGGGCTGCCCCGTCCCCTCGCCCCACGCCAGTGCCCGGTGCCCTGCGGGGGGAGCGGAGATCCCCCCCCATCCCCATCCCCATCCCTCAGCCGTGCGGAGGAGCAGGCAGGAGCTTGCAGGGACAGGGAAGGGGAGGCTGGGGGCTGCGGGCTCCTCTGTGCCCGCATCCCTGCCCTGGAGCAGCATCCCATGGGATAAGCGCCTGGAGCAGCCCTGGGAGGGAGGGGAGGGCTGAGACACCCCGAGGACCGGTTCCTCCCCTTGGGGACCCATCACAGCCGCACCGGCCCCCCGGGATGGGCGCTGCTGGACCCCGGTGGTCCCCGCCCCGCACTGCAGGCACCCAGGGCTGGGGATGCTCCGTGGGCGCAGGGCGATGGCAAAACCCCGCTCCTGGGGTCCCCTGTGCGAGCTGGGACCACGCGGGGCTCCCGCACCCCCCGCGATGCCCCCCCCGGCGAGTCCCGGCCGGGGACCGGGGGCTGAGCGGCCCCGCAGCGGCCCCACCCGGAGCGGGTTTTCTCCTTTCCCTCTTCCGGGAACCGGGGCTGCGGTTTTGGCCGCACCTTGGGGAGCCCCGCGGGGTCCCCAACCTCTATAAACCGGGGGGCCCGGCCCAGGCTGAGACCCCGGAGCAGCGCTCGCCGAGGGAGAGGTGAGAACAGAGCGAGGCGCTGGGGCTGAGCGGGGGTCCCGGAGGGGCTGGCGCTGGAGCCCCCCAGGGTTCGGGGCAGCCGGGAGCACCCCAGCAGCCGCTGCCGGGGGGCAATCAGTGGGGCTGGGGTGCTCCATCAGTGGGGCTGCCCCACACCGCAGCGCTCGCCGCAGGGTCCTGCTGCCTGCACCCCAGCTCCGCCGGCTCCTGGGGTCCCGCTGCCCCGCTCCCAGCATGGAGCTCCCCTTCCCCTTCCCTTCTGTCCCGCTGCAGATGCTGGGGCTGCTGGGGCTGGTGCTGTGCCTCGCTCCTGCGGACGCCCTGAACGCCTTCCCCCCTAAGTGTGAGTCCTGCCCTGATGGAACGGGGGGCTCGGAAGGGAGACACCGGGGGGGTGTGGGCGCAGGACCCCCACAGCAGCTGGAGGGAGGAGGGAGAACCCACATCCCGCATCCCACATCCCTCTGATGTGGGGCAACCCGAGCCTGGGTCGCAGCAGCTCCTCTGGTGTGGTGGGGGGTTAGAGGGGGGGCATGGGAGGTCTGGGGGTGGGAGCTGGGTGATGGGGCCGGGGATGGATGTGGGGTGCAGGAGCAGGGCGGGGATGGACAGGGAGGGGGTCATGGGGCAGGATGAGGACCATGGGGAAGGATGTGACACGGTGTGCCAGCACAAGGGGGCACTCGCCCCATGGCGGCGCGGGGGACGGGCCGCCCCCATCGGGGCCCTCGGAGCCCAGGCTCTGCCTCTCCCCTCCAGTTCAGGTGGGGAAGCTGAACGGGGACGTGGTGGTGAAGTGCAGCACCGCGGAGCAGAGCGTGACCTGGACGCAGAACGGGGAGCCCGAGCCCATGGCCGAGCTGGTGGCCCAGGGTCGGACCCTCACGATCCTCGGCTTGGACCTGCCGGCCGCGGGCAACTACAGCTGCTGGGCCGGGGGTGTCCTCCTCGACTCCATCTACGTGGTGGTCAGCGGCACCCGTGCGTGCGGCCCGGCTGGGGGATTGCGGTGGGGGCGATGGGGGAGATGGGGGGATGAGAGCTATGGGGCGATGGGGTGATGAGGGCTGTGGGGTGATGGGGGCGATGGGGTGATGGGGGAGATGGGGGTAATGAGGGCGATGGGGGCTATGGGGTGATGAGGGCGATGGGGGTGATGGGGTGATGGGGGTGATGAGGGCTATGGGGGTGATGGGGTGATGGGGTTGATGGGGTGATGAGGGCTATGGGGTGATGGGGTGATGAGGGCGATGGGGTTGATGAGGGCTATGGGGTGATGAGGGCTATGGGGTGATGGGATTGATGAGGGCTATGGGTGATGAGGGCTATGGGGTGATGAGGGCTATGGGGTGATGAGGGCTATGGGGTGATGGGGCGATGAGGGCTATGGGTGATGAGGGCTATGGGGTGATGAGGGCTATGGGGTGATGAGGGCTATGGGGTGATGGGGCGATGAGGGCGATGGGGGCAATGGGAGCGATGGGGTGATGGGGTGATGAGGGCTATGGGGTGATGAGGGCTATGGGGTGATGGGGTGATGAGGTCTATGGGGTGATGAGGGCTATGGGGTGATGAGGGCAATGGGGCCATGGGGCAGGGGGATGCAGGGAGCTGGGCTCAGGCTGGGCACCAGGAGATGCTCTTGGACCGCGGGTGCCGAGCGGGGCACGGGCAGCGCTCCCGGCCCCGTGCAGCGCCCGAGCTCCCCCTCGGCCCCCCCAAGGCGCGGCGGGGATGAACGTGTCCTGCCAGGCTGAGTCCTACCGCGGCTCCTTCCGCTGCTCCTGGCCCGGGCCCCGCTCCGCCGTGTTCCGCGCCCGCCTCACCCTCAGGTGCGTGCCCAGGGCCCCCCACCGGCCCCACGGCCCCTTTGTCCCCCGCCTCACGCTGCTCCCCCCGCAGCGACGGCTCCCTGGGGGAGTGGGTGCCCGCCTCCCGCCGCCGTGGCCGCTTCAACGCCAGCTTCGAGGACCCCTTCTTCTGCCCCTTCGCCGAGGAGCTGCGCCCGCTGCGGCTGCAGCTGGAGGGGCTCTCGGACACCTCCTACCTGAGCTTCTCCCATCACTTCTTCATCCGCGACATCGGTGAGCGGGGGCCCGGGGGGGGGGTCCGTGGGGCGGCTGCGCCCTTGCTGAGCCCCGCTGTGCCCGCAGTGCGCCCCGACCCTCCGCAGGCGCTGGCTGTGCAGCGGCGCGGGGAGCGCCTCCACCTCGCCTGGGCCCCCCCGGCCTCCTGGCCGCTGCCCCGCTCCTACTTCGCCCTCCTCTACCGGCTGCAGTACGAGCTCGCCAACGGCACCCAGGTAACGGCGAGGGGACCCTGGGCCCTGCGCCCATCCTGCCCCCTTCCCGTCCCAACCGGTCCCACCGCAGCCTGGGCTCCTCCTTCCACCCAGGGGTGCCGTTGGCAACAGGGGCTCAGCAATGGCCCCCTCCCCACTGCGCCGCTCCGCTCCTCGGGGTGTTCAATGGTCACCCCCGGCCGTCCCCTCTGCTCCCTCCAGCGCTGCCCGCACCAGGCAGCGGCACCGCTGGGGCCGGGGGCCGTGCCGCTGTCCCTCACCGTGGTGTCGGGGCGCTGCGGCCACATCCCGACCCCTCGCAGGGTGACAAATACGTGGATGGCGAGGAGGAGACGTGGCTGCGGGACGGGGCTGAGCGGGTGCGCATCAGCTGCAGGGACCCCTACACCAGCCCCGCCTGGAGCCCCTGGAGCCCCTGGCACGGGACCGGGGCACCCCAGCAGCGCCGCCTGCGAGCGCTCTGAGCCCTCGCTCCCATCCCCTGCCCCGCTGCAAATCCGGGGGCATGGGGGTACCCCAGGGTGGCAGCGACCAGCGCCCATCACCCACCTCCTGCCGCTTGGAAGGGGGGTCCTGCCTCTATTAAACACTGGCCTTGGCTTTCCCCCCACAAACCCCATTGGTCTCTATGTGGGGTGCTGGGTGCCCCGGCCCCACGGCCCAGGCAGGGCTCCTGTGCTCAAGGTGCCCCATGGGGGTCACAGGCCTGTGCCAGGCCCCCGCTGCCCCACAGCTCCTGGAGGGTCCCTGCTCCCACCAGTGCTGGGCTCGCCCATAGGGTCAGTACCCACTGCTGAAAGCAGGCGTGTGACACACATGTGCACGCGTGTGCACGCGTGTTCCAGCCCATGTCAGTGGCCAGCCCCATCCCTGGCCAGCAAAGGTCCCCAGGACCTTGTCCCATGGAGCACATGGACACTGAGCTCCCCCCTCCCGATCCTATAGGGGCTGGCTGGGGCCACGTCCCCAGCCCCAGGGGCACCCTGTGCTGCCCTATACCAAGGGGGCACGTTTGGGGGGCAGCCCCCCATGCCCATAGCCTGGGGCGCAGGACCCTGCCTTAGCGACAGCCCCAGTGCAGGGTCCCAGGGCAGGATGCGGCCATGGTGGGGATGTCTCAGGGTCCACTACCAGCACTGGGGGGCCCTCAGCTCCCACTGGGGCACAGACCCCATCACCCCATGGGGTGCCCAGGCAGGGGTGCGGGGCTGCAGCCAGGCGGGATGGGCTCAAGACCCCGCATCCGAGCCGCTCAATGGGACACGGCCGCAGCACCCACGGACCCCAACAGTGCAGGGGGTGCCCGGGGTGCAGCCCCCCCACGGACGGGCCGGCTCCCGGTGCTGCCACGGGGCTTTATTGACACGGGCCGGGGCCCCCCAGCCCCGCTGCTGCTCCGGACAGGCTGGTGAATGTGCGGCCCTACGGGGGCCGGGGGGCCCAGGGCGGGGGGACGGGAGGAGGAGAACGGGGGCTCCGGGGGTCCCGAGGGGCTCGGGGGACCCCGAGGTGCCCAAGTGCGGGGTCGGGGGCCCGGGCTCCGGTCACGGCGGCCCCAGCCCCCCCAGGCGCAGCTCTTCCCCCTCCAGCATCTCCCTGCAGAGAGACAGGCCCGGGCTGAGCCCCGCGCCCCCCACGACCCCCCTATATCCCAACCCCCCCCCCGCGTACCGGTACGCGGCGATCTCCGCCTCCAGCGCCATCCGCAGCCGCAGCAGCGCCGGGTACTCCCGCAGGCACCGGAGCATCTCCGCCTCCGCCTCGCTGATCTCCCGCTCCAGCTCCGCCACCCGCTCCTGCACCGGAGCCGTCAGCAGCGCCCGGACCCCCGGCCCCAGACCCCCCCGCACCCCGACATCACCCGGACCCCCACACGACCCCCGGTCCCGGTCCCACCGGACCCACAGACCCCAATTGGACCCCTGGACCGGTCTCCCCTCCCCTTGGGACCCCCGACCCTGGTCCCCCCCCCCGGCCCGACCCAGAGACCCCGGCCCGACCCCAGGCCCTGACCCGATCTCTGCACCCCGCTCCCAGCCCCACTCGCCCCCCCCCTCCATGCGAATCCCCACCCCCATCCCGGCCTCTGCCCCACTCGTACCCCCCCAGCCCCATCCCGGCCCCTGCCCCACTCGTACCCCCCCAGCCCCATCCCGGCCTCTGCCCCACTCGTACCCCCCCAGCCCCATCCCGGCCTCTGCCCCACTCGTACCCCCCCAGCCCCATCCCGGCCCCTGCCCCACTCGTACCCCCCCACCCCCACCCCGGCCCCTGCCCCACTCGTACCCCCCCCCCTCTGCACCACTCACCCGCCCCGCCCCATCCCCGGCCCCCACGCACCCCCCCAGCCCCATCCCGGCCTCTGCCCCACTCGTACCCCCCCAATCCCATCCCGGCCTCTGCCCCACTACCACCCCCCAGCCCCATCCCGGCCCCTGCCCCACTCGTACCCCCCAGCCCCATCCCGGCCCCTGCCTGTCCCATCCCGGCCTCTGCCCCACTCGTACCCCCCCAGCCCCATCCCGGCCTCTGCCCCACTCGTACCCCCCCAGCCCCATCTCGGCCTCTGCCCCACTCGTACCCCCCCAGCCCCATCCCGGCCTCTGCCCCACTCGTACCCCCCTTACCCCATCCCGCCCCCTCCCCATCCCCCCGGTGCCCAGCCCCCGCACCCCATCCCCCCCGTCCCCCCCATACCTGGTACTTGGCCACCTCCCCGCTGCGCCGGTCCCGCAGCCCCTCCAGCCGCCGGTGCAGCGCCCCCACGGCCCCGCGCAGCGCTTCCACCTCGGCAGCGCGGGCCCGCAGCAGCCTCCGGTAACCGGCGGCCTCCTCCCGGGCTCTCAGCACCGCCTCCCCGCCGCCCCCCCGCCGGTACCGGGGGCAGCCCTCGGCCGCGCTCATCCCGGCGCTTCTGCGGCGGCGCCGGAACGGTTCCACCCCCGGGGAAACGGGGCCGCGTCACGGACCCGCAGCCAATCCCGGGCCAACCGGATCCGGTTCGCAGCCTCCTCCCGGTACCAATGGGGGGGGCCGGTAGGAGCCTGCCCCCCCCGCCCGCAGCCCCCGCCGGGGCTCCCCCCGGCCCCGGGCAGAGGCTGCAGCACCATGGACAGCGGCGAGGGGTCGGGGGGGGTCAAGGTCAAGTTTAAGGTCAAGGTCATGGCTGTAGCCCCGCCCCCCAATTCCCCTCCATCATCAAGCGGGAGCTGACCCCGGGGGGCGGCGGGGTCCCAGGCAAAGTTTGGGGGGGAACAGGGCCTGGTAAAGGGGGGGACACCCATGGGGAAGGGGGGGGACACCCATGGGGAAGGGGGGGGGGGACACCCATGGGGAAGGGGGGACACCCATGGGGAAGGGGGGGATATTTGGTGGAGAAAGGGGGGGTTTAGCCCCCAGCAGCCCCCCTGGCTCCCCACAGTGGGGCAGTCTGGGGGGGATGAAGGAGGTCCGAAGTGGGGCTGGCGCGATCTTGGCCACCCCAAGTCCATTGCAGGGTGCTGTGGGGGCACATCCAGGCCCAAGGCTGCAAACTGGTGGGTGCAGGGGACTGGGAGCACTGGGGGCCACAGGCCGGTCCATCAGCCTGCCCCATTGCGGGGGGGGCCATGGGCCTGGGTTCAGCATCCAGAGATGCCGAACTCCAACCGGGGTAAGGCAAAGGCGTGCAGGTGGCACAGAGCCACCGCGGCTGCTGGCAAGGGCAGAGGGGGGCCCAGCACTCGGAATGGGGGGGTCCCAATCGCTGTGGGATGGGGGGAGCCGAGCCTGGTCCAGCCACGAGAGCTGCTGCTGGGTGGGCAGCAGGTCCTGAGTGGGACCCCCCAAGCAACAGGGGCCTTTGGTTGGGGGGGGTCTGGGCTTACAGAGTTGGGGGGGCCCAGCCCTTGGGGTCCCATAGCAGGGGCCTTGAGTCAACCACAGCAGCCGGAGCTGTGGGGTGGTTACGGGGGGGGGGGGGCCATGGTGGGGATGGGGCTGCCGATGGTTGGGGTCCGACAGCAGCATCCGCATCCCCACCCCTGCTGCAGGCTGGGGGCAGCGCTCCCAGCCCCCGGCTCCCCCTGCGGCCCTCACACCACGGAGGCCACCCCCGAGACGGACGTCACCTTGTCCTCGGCCCAGGGCTGCAGGTGCTGCAGGGCGTACAGGGAGGAGTTGTGCATGCAGAGCGGGTCCTGCGGCAGCGGCTGCCTCAGGCTCTTCTGCAAGGCCTCTTGCTGCAGGTGCAGCATCAGGCGGTTGGCCTGCTGGCGCTCGGCCTCGCGCTCCTCCGCCGTCTGCCTCCTGCCAGCACACACGGCACAGCCGGCACTGACGCAGCTGCTGCTGCGACCACTGCTGCAACCACCACTGCGACCACTGCCACAGCTGCTGCTGCGACTGCTGCTGCAACCACCACTGCAACCACTGCCACTGCCACAGCTGCTGCTGCGACTGGTGCTGCAACCACTGCTGCAACCACTGCCACAGCTGCTGCTGCGACTGCTGCTGCAACCACCACTGCATCCACTGCTGCAACCGGTGATGCAGCCACCACTGCAACCACCACTGCAACCACTGCCGCAGCCACCACTGCAACCACTGCCACTGCCACAGCTGCTGCTGCGACTGGTGCTGCAACCGGTGATGCAATCACTGCCACAGCCACCACTGCAACCACTGCCACAGCCACTGCTGCAATCACTGCCACAGCCACTGCCACAGCCACCACTGCAACCACTGCCACAGCCACTGCTGCAATCACTGCCACAGCCACTGCCACAGCCACCACTGCAACCAGTGCTGCAACCAGTGCTGCAACCACCACTGCAATCACTGCTACAACCACCACTGCAATCGCTGCTACAACCACCACTGCAACCACTGGCACAGCCACTGCTGTGACTGGTGCCGCAACCACCACTGCAACCACTGCCACAACAGCCACTGCAACCAGTACTGCACCCATTGCCACCACTGCTCCCCAGCCCAGCTTCCCTCAGCACTGTTCTGTGCTGTTGTGCCAATGCCCATGGCCTCTGCCCTGCAGCCCTGTCCCTCTGGGCACTGCCGGGTGCTGCTGCGGTAATGCCACAGAACCTCCCACTGCAGTGCATCTGCTGCCGACCCCACTGCGTGCCAGTGGGGCAATGCCCCAGAGCCCATCCCTCCCTTGGTGCCCCGGTGCCATCCCCGTTACCTCCCCTTGGTGCCCCGGTGCCGTCCCCGTTACCTCCCCTTGGTGCCCCGGTGCCATCCACGTGACCTCCCCTTGGTGCCCCGGTGCCATCCCCGTTACCTCCCCTTGGTGCCCCGGTGCCATCCCCGTTACCTCCCCTTGGTGTCCCGGTGCCATCCCCATTACCTCCCCTTGGTGTCCCGGTGCCATCCCCATTACCTCCCCTTGGTGTCCCGGTGCCATCCCCATTACCTCCCCTTGGTGCCCCGGTGCCATCCCCATTACCTCCCCTTGGTGTCCCGGTGCCATCCCCATTACCTCCCCTTGGTGCCCCGGTGCCATCCCCGTTACCTCCCCTTGGTGCCCCGGTGCCATCCCCGTTACCTCCCCTTGGTGCCCCGCTGCCATCCCCGTTACCTCCCCTTGGTGCCCCGGTGCCATCCCCGTTACCTCCCCTTGGTGCCCCGGTGCCATCCCCGTTACCTCCCCTTGGTGCCCCGGTGCCATCCCCGTTATCGTGCCCCGGTGCCATCCCCGTTACCTCCCCTTGGTGCCCCGGTGCCATCCCCGTTATCGTGCCCCGGTGCCATCCCCGTTACCTCCACTTGGTTCGCCGGTTCTGGAACCAGGTCTTGACCTGCGCATCCGTCATCTTGAGGGCCTTGGCCAGGGTCGCTCGCTCGGCCGAGGCCAGGTACTTCTGCCGGTGGAAGCGCTTCTCCAGCTCGCAGATCTGCCCGCGGCTGAAGGACGTGCGCGGCTTCTTGCGCTTGGGGGGGGTCCGGTTCTGGTACGGGTGCCCGATGCGGCGGGTGGCGGCGAACGGGGCCAGCGCGGCTGCGGGGGGGGCGGTGTGAGGGCAGGGACGGGAGGGGCCCCGGTGCGGGAGCAGGCGGCAATGGGGGGGGGGGATGCTCGGGGCCATGGGGATGGGGAGCTCCAGGGGGAGGACGCGGACCTGCGTTGTCCGCACCGGCTCCCCTGGACCAGAGCAGCTCCAGCTGCGATGGGAGCTCCCGTACCCATCCCACAGAGGACGCGAACCCCCCTTGTCCGCACCGGCTCCCCTGGACCAGAGCGGCTCCAGATGTGATGGGAGCTCCCGTCCCCATCCCACGGAGGACGCGAACCCCCCTTGTCCGCACCGGTTCCCCGCACCCAGAGCAGCTCCAGCTGCGATGGGAGCTCCCGTCCCCATCCTATGGAGGACGCGAACCCCCCTTGTCCGCACCGGCTCCCCTGGACCAGAGGCACTGGGAGCAGCTCCAGATGTGATGGGAGCTCCCGTCCCCACCCCACGGAGGACGCGAACCCGCCTTGCCCGCACCGGCTCCCCCCACCCAGAGCGGCTCCAGATGCGATGGGAGCTCCCGTCCCCATCCCATGGAGGACGCGAACCCCCCTTGCCCGCACCGGCTCCCCTGGACCAGAGCACCTCAAGATGCGATGGGAGCTCCCGTCCCCATCCCATGGCCGTGCCCCATCGCTGCCCCGGCCGGGCAGGAGGGCACCGGCGCTGCTGGGATCTGATCCCTGAGGGGCTGGAGGGGCCCCCGGCAGCACGAACCCCCCCTCCCCGGGTGCTGAGCCCCGGCCCTGCAGGAGGCTCCATGGGGCTGCCAGAGCCCTGCTGGAGAGGGGTCAGGGCCCCAGCAGCCGTGAGGAGGGGCCGGTGCCTCAGCCGTGTGCTGGCAGCGGCCGGCCTGGTCCCCGCAGCTCCCGGTCACCGGGGGAAGGGGCCGGGGCTGTGCGGGCAGGGCCCTGGTGTGATGCGGTGAGGCCGCTGTGCCGCATCCCAGCTCCGGCTGCAACCGGAGCCCTGGGGAGCGCAGGGACAAAGCGGCGCGGAGGAAGGTGGGAGCGTGGCGCAGCTCCAGCTCCTGCAGCCCCGCAGCCCCGCAGCCCCACAGCCCCGCAGCTCCCGCAGCCCCGCAGCTCCCGCAGCCCCGCAGCCCCGCAGCTCCCGCAGCCCCACAGCCCCGCAGCTCCCGCAGCCCCGCAGCCCCGCAGCCCCGCAGCCCCGCTGCCCCGCAGCCCCACAGCCCCGCAGCTCCCGCAGCTCCTGCAGCTCCCACAGCCCCGCAGCTCCTGCAGCCCCACAGCCCCGCAGCCCCCGCAGCCCCGCAGCCCCGCAGCTCCCGCAGCTCCCGCAGCCCCGCAGCCCCGCAGCTCCCGCAGCCCCGCAGCCCCGCAGCTCCGCAGCCCCGCAGCTCCCGCAGCCCCGCAGCCCCGCAGCTCCCGCAGCCCCGCAGCCCCGCAGCCCCGCAGCCCCGCAGCCCCGCAGCCCCGCAGCCCCGCAGCTCCCGCAGCCCCGCAGCCCATGGCGAGGCCTTGGCCAGCGCCAGCGCCGCAGGGGCAGGGCTGCACATGGCCGGGCCATGGGGTCACCAGGGCTCCCCAGCGTGGCACAGGGACACGGGGCAGAGCCCGCAGCAGCCCAGGCACAGCCGGAGATGCCCCAAGCAGCAGCGCTGGTGCAGGTGCAGCCGGAGGGGATGGGGGCCCCTCGCTGGGAGCAGCCCATGGCCCACCCCATAGCCCACCCCATGGCCCACCCCATGGCCCACCCCGTGGCCCACCCCATAGCTCACCCCATGGCCCACCCCATAGCCCACCCCATAGCTCACCCCATGGCCCACCCCATAGCCCACCCCATGGCCCACCCCATGGCCCACCCCATGGCCCACCCCATGGCCCACCCCATAGCTCACCCCATAGCCCACCCCATAGCCCACCCCATAGCCCACCCCATAGCCCACCCCATAGCCCACCCCATAGCCCACCCCATAGCCCACCCCATGGCCCACCCCATAGCCCACCCCATAGCCCACCCCATAGCCCACCCCATGGCCCACCCCATAGCCCACCCCATGGCCTACCCCATGGCCCACCCCATAGCCCACCCCATAGCCCACCCCATGGCCCCACTGCCGAGCGATGGCCGTCGGGAGGGGCCCCCTCGTCCACCCACCGCGGCGCCAAGGCGGGGGCCGGGGCTGGCGCCTCATCCCCGCCGCCATAGCGGGAGGGCCGGGGGGGACCCGGCTCTGCTGGGGCTGGGCTGGGCTGGGCTGGGCCCCCCCAGGCTCCGGCTCCCGCCCCGCACAGCCCCAGAGCCCCCGGCTCCGGCCTCGTCCCGCACGGAGCCGGGGCTGCGGACGTGGCAGCGCCGCCATCTTGGGAAGGAGCCGGGGTGAAGCAGGCAAGGCAGAGCAGGGGTCCCCAGCACCGCATCCACAGCACCATAACCATAGCACCGTAACCACAGCACCGTAACCACAGCACCGCATCCATGGCACCCCGTCCATGGCACCCCAACAACAGAACCCCAACCGCAGCACCCCAAACACAGCGCTTCAACTAGGGCAGCTCAACCGCGATACCCCACACAAAGCACTCCACTACGGCAGCTCAACCACAGCACCCCAACCACGGCACCCCCAAAATGGCACCACGATCACAGCACCATAACCACAGCACCCCGTCCATGGCACCCCAACAACAGAACCCCAACCACAGCACCCCAAACACAGCGCTTCAACTGCGGCAGCTCAACCGCAATACCCCACACAAAGCACTTCCACTGCGGCAGCTCAACCACAGCACCCCAACCACAGCACCCCCAAAATGGCACCACGATCACAGCACCGTAACCACAGCACCCCGTCCATGGCACCCCAACAACAGAACCCCAAGCGCAGCACCCCAAATACAGCGCTTCAACTACGGCAGCTCAACCGCAATACCCCACACAAAGCACTTCCACTATGGCAGCTCAACCACGGTACCCCAAACACAGCACCCCAACCACAGCACCATAACCACAGCACCCCAACCACGGCACCCCGTCCATGGCACCCCAACAACAGAACCCCAAGCGCAGCACCCCAAACACAGCGCTTCAACTACAGCAGCTCAACCGCGATACCCCACACAAAGCACTTCCACTACGGCAGCTCAACCACGGCACCCCAACCACAGCACCCCAACTACAGCAGCTCAACCACGGTACCCCAACGACAGCACCCCCAAAATGGCACCACGATCACAGCACCATAACCACAGCCTCCCAACCAAGGCACCCAACCACAGTGCCACAACCACGGTGCCGCATCCACGGCACCCCAACCACAGTACAACAACTACAGCACGCTAACCATGGCACCCCAACCGCATCACCCCAACCGCATCACCCCAACCCTAGCATCCCAATCGTGGCGCCCCAACCACAGCATCCCAACTGCAGCACAACTACAGCACGCTAACCATGGTGCCTCAACCGCATCACCCCAACCGCATCACCCCAACCGTGGCATCCCAATCACAGCATCCCAACCGCTGCACCCCTCGCCTTCTCCTTTGGGGTGCACCAACCAGCACTGGGTGCCCGGCCCCACCAACAGCACCGGGACCCCAGCTCCTCACCGGCACCCAGCAGCGCAGCCTCTCCCGCAGCACCAGCACCACCGCGGCCCCGCAGGGACCCTCCGCTGCCCCACACCCGAGGGGCCTCTCCCCGCACTCCGGCTCCCATCGGCCCCCCGGTGCCCGTAGGACGGGGCCGGCCCCGGGTGCCCCCGGGGAGCAGCGGGACACGGAGCAGAGCCCGAGGCTGGGACCTCCCGGGTCCGCCCGGAGCCACCGGGATCCGCTCGCCGCTGGCCCCGACGGGGCGCCCGATGCAGCGGGGATGGGCGGGGGGGGCGAGGACCCCGCGGTGCGGGAAGCGCGGAGCTCAAGGGAACCCCGGCCCCGTGCCCGCCCCGCCGGAGCCGTCGGGAGCCGTCGGTGGCCGCGCTCACCTGAGAGCCGGTCCTTGGCGATGCGCCGCGAGGTCTCCATCCAGGGGAAGGGGAGCCCCGAGAGCCCCGGTACCGGCGGGGGGGCTGCGGGCGGCGGGGGGGGCGCGGGCCGGTGCGCCGGGACTCGGATGACCCCTGCGGGCGCGGGGGTCACGTTGACGCTCACGTTCATGCTCATGTTGAGGTTGTAGGAGCCGAGCGAGCAGGCGGGGCCGTAACCGCCGCCGTAGAGCCCGTACTCGGCTTCCGCCGCCCGGGCCGGGCCCGCGGGCTCGGGGCCACCGAGGATTTGGTCGATGCCGAAGCTGATGGGTTCGTGGGGGGGGGGGCCCGGGCCGCCGCCCTCCCGCGCCAGCGCCGCCGCCTCCATGCCCCGGCCGCGCTCAGAGCCCGCGGGGCGCGGGCATGGCCGGGGGGCGGCGGGGGGCGGCGGGCGCGGGGCGGCCGCGGCGGGCGCGGGGCCGGGTGCGGGCGCGGGTGCGGGTGCGGGGCAGGGGCCCGGCGGCGCGCGCTTTTCTGCCCCGCTCCATCGGGACCTGCCAAAATCCCGAGCGCCCGCGCCCTGATTGGCGGCCGCGCCCCGTGATTGGCGGAGCCGCGGCCCCGGGGGGCGGGGGCTCGAGCATCCCGGGGGGGGGGGGCCGCCCCTCCCGCACCCCCCCCACCCCCCACCCCCCATCCCCGCCGCCGCCCCTCGGCTCCGCCGCCGCCACCGACGGGACGGGACCGTCGGGCCCCGAGCGCCCCGAGAAGCGCCCGGTTCCCCCGGGCGGGCCCGGCCCCTCCGCGCTCCGGTTCCCAGGCTCCGGAGCAGGCACCGGACAACGCAGACGGCGGCGCGGAGCCCGGAGGCGAGGCCGCGGCCTCGGGAGCAGCGCGGAGCCGCTCCGTGCCCTCGGGAGGAAACGGCGGCGTCGGGAGCCCAGCCCGGCCCCTCCCGCGTCCTCCCGGGAGCACGGAGCCGTTATCCGGGCTCTCGGAGCGCACGGACCGGCTCCTGTCCCCGCAGCCGCCGCTCTCCGGGCGCACCGGGCCCGATCCCGGGGCACGGACCCGGGTTTCCCCGAGCCGCCGTTCCCCGTGGTGGAGCCCCGCGCTCCCGGTAACACGGGTTCCGCTTTCCCCGCCTCGCCGCTCCCGGGGCGCGGGTCCAGGCGGTACCAACCCCTCTTCCCCCACCCGCCGTTGCCGGTAGCGCGGCCCCCGATTCCCACGAACCCACCGTTCCCGGAGCACCGACCCCGGCCGCGCCGACCCCTCCTTCCCGGGCCATAGAGACCCCGTTCTCCCGGGAGCCGCCGTTCCCGGTAGCACCGGCCCTGTGCCCCATGGCCCCGCCGCTCTCTGCTGATGCAGCCCCGTACCCCGCCCTTCCGTTCCCCCCGGGCACGGAGCCTGAACCGGCCCCGTCGGGATGCTCGCCCCTGCCTTGCAGGACCGGGCCCGGCCGCGGCCCCATCGACCGCCCTTTACACGGGCTCAGCCCCGGGCCGCGGATCCCGGTACCGGCGACGATCGCGACAGCCGTGCCTGTGGGGTGGCCCCGGGGGTCGGAGCCGACGGTTCCTGGGCTGGGGGTCACGGCTCCGGGGCAGCGGGCGGCGGCGGGGGGGGGGGGCGGGCTCCCAGGCACCCTGGCGCCACCGGTCTGGGGCAAATGACATTACCGGGGCCAGCGCCTGTAAATCAGAGCGGCACCGGGAGCTGCAGCTGCTCCACCGGGGGCACCGGGTGAGCCGGGCCCGCTGCAGTGCGGGTGAGCGGCCCTGGGGCACGGGGACACGGGCACGGGGCTGCAGGAGCACCGGTACGAGCACCCCCTGCAGACCCTGGCACACACACATGTGCATGGCATGGTGCCGGCACACACATGTGCATGGCATGGCCCCGGCACACACATGTGCATGGCATGGCGCCGGCACACACATGTGCATGGCATGGCCCCGGCACACACATGTGCATGGCATGGTGCTGGCACTGGCATGGCCTCGGCACACACATGTGCATGGCATGGCCCCGGCACACACATGTGCATGGCATGGCCCCGGCACACACATGTGCATGGCATGGCCCCGGCACACACATGTGCATGGCATGGTGCTGGCACTGGCATGGCCTCGGCACACACATGTGCATGGCATGGCCCCGGCACACACATGTGCATGGCATGGCCCCGGCACACACATGTGCATGGCATGGCCCCGGCACACACATGTGCATGGCATGGTGCTGGCACTGGCATGGCCTCGGCACACACATGTGCATGGCATGGCCCCGGCACACACATGTGCATGGCATGGCCCCGGCACACACATGTGCATGGCATGGCCCCGGCACACACATGTGCATGGCGTGGCCCCAGCACACACATGTGCATGGCGTGGCCCCAGCACACACATGTGCATGGCGTGGCTCCCACAGACACACTGCACTGCACAGATGTCCATGTGCGTGCACACATCCCCCAGGGCACGGCACAGCTGTACCGGCACATGCAGCACCCGTGTGCACGCACATGGACACACATGGACACACATGTACACACATGTACACACATGTACACACATGTACATGCACGTTGGTCCCTGCAGGCCCAGGCTGTTCTGCCTGACGCTTGTACTGTGCTGAGCTGGCTGTGCCCACATCCCACTGTATCACCGGGCATCCCATGGGTACCACCGGGCACCCCATGGGTACCACTGTGCATCCCATGGGTACCACCGGGCATCCCGTGAGTACCACTGTGCATCCCATGGGTACCACCGGGCATCCCATGGGTACCACCGAGCATCCCATGGGGGGCTTTCACTGTGCATCCCATGGGTCCCACCGGGCATCCCATGGGTACCACCGGGCATCCCATGGGTACCACCGGGCATCCCATGTGTCCCACCGGGCATCCCATGGGTCCCACCGGGCACCCCATGGGTACCACTGTGCATCCCATGGGTCCCACCGGGCATCCCATGGGTACCACTGTGCATCCCATGGGTACCACTGTGCATCCCATGGGTACCACCGGGCATCCCACTGTACCACCAGGCATCCCATGGGTACCACCGGGCATCCCGTGAGTACCACTGTGCATCCCATGGGTACCACCGGGCATCCCATGGGTACCACTGTGCATCCCATGGGTACCACTGTGCATCCCATGGGTACCACCGGGCATCCCATGGGTACCACCGAGCATCCCATGGGTACCACCGGGCATCCCATGGGTCCCACCGGGCATCCCATGGGTACCACCGGGCATCCCATGGGTACCACCGGGCATCCCATGGGTACCACCGGGCATCCCATGGGTCCCACCGGGCATCCCATGGGTACCACCGGGCATCCCAAGTTACCACTGTGCATCCCATGGGTACCACTGTGCATCCCATGGGTACCACTGTGCATCCCATGGGTACCACCGGGCATCCCAAGTTACCACTGTGCATCCCGTGGGTACCACTGTGCATCCCATGGGTACCACCGGGCATCCCACGGTACCAGGCTCAGAGCTGCCCTTTTCCACGCTGGGGGCATTTCCCTCCCTGCTGCCCCCACGGGAGCCCCGAGCCAGGGATGGGGAAACTGAACCCAGGGCACCGGAACCCCGGGACCCTCCCGGCGTTTCCTCCTCTTGGCTTAGCAGGTGCCGGGAGAAGCCTGCCCCGTGCTCCCAGTGCAGCGTTCCCGGCTGGAGCCAGCCACCGGCCCCCGGCTCCCGGCCCCAAAACGGCTCACTATGGCCTGGGGCACGGCCGGCACCGGCACCGGCACCGGCACCGGCACCGGCACTGGTGCTGGTGTTGGTGTTGGTGTTGGGGCACGGCCGGCACCGGCACTGGTGTTGGTGTTGGTGCTGATGCTGTCGGTGCTGTCGGTGCTGGTGCCGGTGCTGGTGCTGCTGGTGCCGGTGCTGTTGATGCTGCTGGTGCCGGTGTTGCTGCTGATGCTGACGGTGCCGGTGCCGGTGTTGCTGCAGGTGCTGTCGGTGCTGTCGGTGCCGGTGCCGGTGCTGGTGCCGGTGCCGGTGTTGCTGCAGGTGCTGTCGGTGCTGCCGGTGCTGGTGCCAGTGCTGTTGATGCTGCTGATGCTGTCGGTGCTGTCGGTGCCGTTGATGCTGCCGGTGCCGGTGCCGGTGCTGCTGCAGGTGCTGTCGGTGCTGCCGGTGCCGGTGCAGGCCCAGGCCCCCCGCGCCCGCCGGGGTGGGGCGGGCCCCGGCTCCGGGCGGCGGGAGGAGGCGGCAGCGGGTTCCTTGAACCGGGAGCCGCGCAGCTGTTGCCGTGCCCGGGGGCTGGAATGCGGCCGCTCCCGGGAGATGGATGGGGGGCGGGTGACGGCTCCCGCCTGCGCGCACCGCCTGTGCCGGGGGGGTCACCCCAACCCCTACCCCCCCCCCCCCACGGTGGGACCCCGGCACCGGGCACGCACCGAGGGCAGGGTGCGGGTGCTGCGAGCCCCCCCTCCCAGGGACCCCGCTCTCAGCTCCCCCTTCCCTCCCCTGTGCCCCCCAAGGCCCCCTGCCCCTGGTGTCTGAGAGCGGGGCTCAGGCCGGGTCCCTGCCCCTGCCTCCCCCCAGTGAGGAGGACTGGGAGCACTGGGAGCACTGGGAGCGCTGAGCGCAACCGCATGGACCCACTCCTCATCCCTCAGCCCCAGGGGCCTGGCTTGTGTCAACCCGTGGGGCTGGATCCGGGGGACACAGGGGGCACAGGGGACACAGGGGGACACAGGGGGCACAGGGGACACAGGGGACACAGGGGGCACAGGGGACACAGGGGGACACAGGGGGACACAGGGGGCACAGGGGACACAGGGGGGACACAGGGGGACACAGGGGACACAGGGGACACAGGGGGACACAGGGGACACAGGGGGACACAGGGGACACAGGGGGACACAGGGGACACAGGGGACACAGGGGACACAGGGGGACACAGGGGGCACAGGGGACACAGGGGGACACAGGGGACACAGGGGGCACAGGGGACACAGGGGGACACAGGGGGACACGGGGCACAGGGGACACAGGGGGACACAGGGGACACAGGGGGCACAGGGGGACACAGGGGGCACAGGGGACACAGGGGCACAGGGGACACAGGGGGCACAGGGGGCACAGGGGACACAGGGGGACACAGGGGACACAGGGGGCACAGGGGACACAGGGGGCACAGGGGGACACAGGGGGACACAGGGGGACACAGGGGACACAGGGGGCACGGGGGCACAGGGGACACGGGGACACAGGGGGCACAGGGGGCACAGGGGACACAGGGGCACGGGGACAGGGGCACAGGGGGAACAGGGGGACACGGGGCACAGGGGACACAGGGGACACAGGGGACACAGGGGGCACAGGGGACACAGGGGGACACA